CTCTTTCCAGTCTGTAACGGTCAAGAATAGACTAACATAGAGCTGTTTTTTTTCTCTCTCTCTCCAGTCTGCAACGGTCAAGAACAGGCTGAAGCTATTCGAGCAGGGCTCGGACCAGGACGCCAACATGTCCGGCCGCCCTGCCGTGGCCAACAAGCCTGTGGCCCCTGTGCTACAGATGTTCAAAAAGAGGCAGGACGAAGCTGCAGCTGGCGGTGGGGCGGAGTCTGGTGATCAAAGCCCCGCCCAGTCTGCTAATACAACTTCTAACAAACCTCCTATACTAGCCAAAGGAAGCACTTTGGGAGGAGGAGCAGGGGCTACAGCTCCGAAGACTCCTCCCAAATGGGGCTTGGCAGCTGCGGGTCAGCAGAAGTCTGACGTGAACCAAAACGTGGTGCCCGCTCAAGCTGTGAATAAAACTGGCAATAAGGCTGCTGGCTCTTCTGCAACACATCAAAATCCGACTAAAGTCACGAACAATGGGGTGGCTAAGTTTGGCGCGGCCACCAACAACGGAATTTCGAAAGTGACGCTAAAACCTGCTGTCGGTGGGTCTTCTTCTTTATCATCATCGTCTTCGTCGTCGTCAACATCGGCATCATCTACTCCTGCACCTTTGTCGTCATCCTCAGCCGTTTCAAGTCTACGGCCAACAACTCCTCCAAAACCAGGACCTAAAAGTCCTGGGTCTTCCGCAAACGAAGCAGCCTCCAAGACGAATAAGTCTCCAGGGGTGGGCGTGGCTCTGAAACCCCCAAGTTTTCCCAAACCCCAAGTTACAAACAAAAGTTCCACTTCCTCATCCACGTCGTCGTCCTCCTCTACGACGGCACAGAGTCCCACAGAAAGTCGTGTTCCTCCTCTCCCTACGTCACCCTCACAAAAGTCGTCTGCCGCTTCCAATGATGGCGACACTCCAGACAGTTCATCCGCTATAGACCAGAGAAGGCCTTCGAAGTTCGCTGCTCTACGCCAGGGGTTTGAAGCTAACAACAGCAGCAGCAGCAGCTCCTCTTCCACCAAACCAACTGTTTCTTCCCAGAATGCCACAAAGGGTGTTGCTGCAGATAATCATGTAAAGCAGGTTTGTTCTATCTGTCGGTCTGTTTTTGTGTCTTGTCTATTTGCTTGCCTGTTTTTTTGTTTTTTTTTTGGGGGGGGGTTTGTTTTGTTTTACCCACTGTTTCTCTCCTTCTTTCCCTCCTTATCTTGTCTCACCATCTTTATCTGTCCATATGCCCATTATTCTCCCACTGTTTCTCTTTTTCTTTCTTTCTTGACCTGTCTCATTTTGTTTCTCTTAGTCAATTTTTCCTCTTTCTCTCCTTTTTTCTTCTTCTTTTGTCTGTCTTTGAACATGTCTTCCTCCCCGTTTCGCTCCTTCTTTTTCATATATATATATATATAATTTATATACATGTATATATAAAATATAATTTATGTAAATATAAATACATAAGTGTGTGTGTGTGTGTGTATGTCCCTGCCGGTCAATATCAGTCATATGAAAGACATCTGAAAACTGAGTTGGCATTATTTTCGAAAACTATCACCTTTCCCCTACAATTTAAAACAAGAATGAAGTAAATATGATGACAATATTTGACGAAAATACAGAACTTTTAAGTGTTCGGGGTGAGGAAACACGAAAAGGAAAAAATGGCCTTCGAAGTTTAGCAACATGTTTCCATAGCAATGGGGGTCTTAAAATTGAGATAGAGACTTGAAATTTAGCAGTTATCTGGGCTATACCACTACAAGGTAACATACAGAAGTAGAAAACTATTCATTTACAGAGAAAAAAAACTTATGGACGTAACAAAAATTTTAATGAGAATGGACCACGTCAAATGCATCAAAATATTAGCATTATACTAGGTACCAGACACTAAATTTTCAAAGTAGCTGTATGTCAAATTCATCTGTTTCATATGAAAGGCCCATGTCCTGAGAATTTTTGTTCCGTACTTTTACCTCTCAGTCAAAGTTTAAGAGAATGGCAGTTCTTTCAATTTAACATCTATATAATAAAATATTACTGAAGTCGTTGACTGGCTGCAACCCCATGTTTAACAGATAGTAAAAGAGTACCAAGTGCACCAAACATTTCTACATTAAAAGAGTACAGTCACTATAACATAGGGGAGAAATGAAGCCTAATATTTTTGAGGACTGTGAGATCATTACAAATCAGTATTTTATTGCCTCAAACACGATGATCTGTCGTTATTTCAATAAAAACACCGAGCGATGTCTCGGCCGGCATCGCACCAGCCTTCACAATGAGCGAGCCGACTCAATACTGTGGTATACTGAGGGCTCCCGGTAGTTTCGCAGAAGGATTCATGCAAAATAATTCCAAGCCGATGACTTTATTCTTATAGAAAAAAACTGACCTTTCTGTTGGTACCTTTTTTAGCCGGTATTTTACACATTTCGTGTTAAAAAGCATCTTTGAAAACGTAGACTCTTTTTTTTTCAAGGTTTTCTATCTAAACGCCAAAGGCCAAAAATAATATCCACAGGAAACCACGCTCAAAGCTTTAGATCTCTTTGTTTGTCCTGGCTCAAACAATTACAATATAGTTGAATTATCTGTTTTCTTCTGAACTGCGTTTTTCCACGTGAAGTTGCCCTTTCTTTCTTGTTCCAAAGTCATTCTTGAGGATGACTCCATGAGACCTTGGCCATAGTGTTAGCGTCATTTATAGATGAAACCTGTGTGGCTGTTTTTATACCCACTCGCTGTAAGTCACACATGGTCAAAATGTTAAGATAACGACCAAAATGATACTTGATCTCAGTGGCATTCCTTCTTTGATGGCCTTTGGACATGATGTCAAATGGTTTTTAAAAATGCCAACAAATCACATAGTTATAAGCATCTTTTTCAAATCGTTGTGGTGTGACTGACATGGAACCAGAAGTGTTTTTGATTAACTCAGATGTATATTAAATTACCTAAGAACCGCTTCTGTGGCCAGCTGACAACATCTTTGAAAATGTATGATTATATGAGCTTACAATTTATTTATATCCATTAAGAGACATTTGCTGGGGTATGGTAAATGCAGATATAATGTACTCGTCACACACACACACACACACACACACACACACACACACACACACACACACACACACACACACACACACACACACAGACACACTCGCGCGCGCGCTCTCTCTCTCTCTCTCTCTCTCTCTCTCTCTCTCTCTCTCTCTCTCTCTCTCTCTCTCTCTATCGATCTATCTATCTTTTTTTTCTTTCTTTCTCTTTCTCTCCCCCTCTCTCTCTCTCACTTTCTCTCTCTCTCACTTTCACTCTCTCTCTCTCTTTCTCTCTCTCCCTCTCTCTCTCTCACACACACACACACACACACACACACACACACACACACACACACACACACACACATACATACACATACATACATACACACACACTTACATTACACAGATGCACACACGCAAATAAATAGTCGTTGGACAGATATACAAAATGACATTTTTCTCGCACACGTAAAATGACTGAATCGCTTGTGTTGACGACGGCCCCAATGATGTTTTACAGTTTTCATACCTGTTGGTTCTAACTTTTTAAAAATAATAAGATTTTTACATTTATCAGGGCGGATGGTTGGAGGGCGCCCCTGTTAGGTCCTACTTCTTTACTTTCCCTCTGCTGTTTCTGTCTGTCTGTTTTACTTTTTCCCAGCACTAAATGACCGTTATTGTGTAGATGTGCTTCTCTTAATCAAACGCACAAAAAACATCTAACAGGGTACCCAACTATAGGCAGGGAAAGATCTTCGTCAGTTTTTCAGTGTTTGAATTTGAGTGCTTAACCAGCTGCTTGCACTGTGTGCTTCCCGGGAAGCTGAGACTGATTCGGAGTGTTTTGTGGTCTGCTGGGGTAATAATAATAATCATATAATGTAAAACGTACTGAGTTTGCTGTTGGGCGGAGATATGCGCTCTACACATGTTATTATTATTATTATTACATTTTGTATTATTATTTAATTATTATTATTGTTATTATTATTATTATTATTATTATTATTATTATTATTATTTATTATTATTATTATTATTATTTATTATTATTATTATTATTATTTATTATTATTTATTATTATTATTATTTATTATTATTATTTATTATTATTATTATTGTGATTCCCACAGCCTCTAAGTTTGCCAAGTTCGCCCACATCCAAGGACTCCAGTATTACCTTACGGAACAATTCGACCAACTCTGATGCCGCGAAACAGCAGCGTACCAGCAGCATCATTGTTGAGAGGAGGAAGGACGGCAAAAGGTTTAAGAAAGTCAAGCTAAGGGAATTGCCTCCCGAGGAGAAAGTGGTGGACAAACCTGAGGTGCCTACTGATGTAGATCTGAGTGCAATACAGGGGCATTACCAGAGTGCCATCAAAGAGTTTCGTGAGTGGTTTTACGTCAGTTTTTTTCCTTTTTAAAAAAAATTGATCTTTCTGCTTTTTCTGAAAATTGATTTTTCTGATTTTTAAAAAAGATTTGTCTTTCTGATTTTTCTCAAATTTGATTTTTCTGATTTTTCTCAAATTTGATTTTTCTGAAGTTCAGTATTTCTTTTTGCTTGTTGTTGCTTTTGTTGTGCTTTTTAAAAACTTAGTTTCACTTATTCATGGTTTCTTTCTGTGTCTCTGATAAATATGTGCCCTGGTTACAAACCTAGGGCGTCCGCTGATGCGGATTCGATCGAGTGAAAATATGGGAACGTGAAAATATGGGAACGTGAAAATATGGGAACGTTTTCAAGGAATTTAATGTTTTTGCATGTTTCTCTTTTTTTGATGGGGGGGGGGGGGGGGGGGGGGGGGTGCTACTTAATTAATTTTTTTTTTAAGGTTTTTGATTTTTGTCAGTTAGTGTTTTTTCTTCTTACTTGAATGTTTTGGAGAACCTGATAGTAGCATTGAGAATTGTTTTGTTTGGGTTTTTTTCATTTCTCACGTTCAGATGTTTAGAGCATTTCTATATTACCTCAGTCATCTGGCTAGTAAGGATTCCAAATATAATCTTCGTCTGTTGTGTATGATGGTCACTTACTGTAGAGGAGAAAAAGGCTTGTCTTAGACTGGTGGATGTTTTTGACAGTGTCAATACAATAGAAAAGGCTGGTAGGGGAAAATGAAAAGTGGTCATAATTTATACAAGTAGTTTTCTTGGACAAGTGGCTGTTAGAATAGGCTTGACTGTAACTGAACTGTCATTTACACAAAGTAGTCTCATTTTGATATTTGGCAGTGCCTTGTTGCAGGAAAAATTGTCTCAATCTTGTGAGATATACAAATGAAAACTTTAAGCGTAATTAGCATGAAAAAAAAAATGTGATGCACTTATCTCCAAAATGCTGTGATCAAAAGTGCTGAAGTCTCCGTCTCCCTGTTTCAGAGAAAGAGTCAGATGCCGCCAATGCAGTCTCTCCTGATGAGGAAGATGATGCAGATATCTATGACGATTGTTTCTCAGTCGAGCATAGGATGTTACCCAGGAAGTCAACATTCAGGAAGCAGTCGGAACGCATTTCCCTCATGTGAGTACGCTGTTACATGGACACTTAACACTTTTCCTACCGGGAGCCGCATTTTGCAGCTCGCGGACGTTGCCTCGCTGGACTGAGGGCAGCAAAATACGGCTTGAGGGCTTGCTTTCTATTCCAATCCAGTAATAAAAAGGCACAGAATTTTCGGCCCATCCATGTTTTCGAAATAATAGAATAGACTTCCTGTTAGAATATATAGTGCTCACTGACAGACGATTTTTAGTTTCTTCAAAACGTAAAAATGAAAAGAAAAGTGCTCCCCTGACTTCAGTATATGTCTCATATTTTCACTTTTATAATAGGTACACACACATAACTTTCAGCATTTCTTAGCATTACTTGAGGCAACCTATCTGGGAAGTTTGAATGATGCTGTTGTTGTCCTTTTTTAGTTATGACATTTCAAAGCTGGAAAATTGTTGATTTCATATGACACCTTCAATATTTCATAATCAGTTTTTAAAAAACCAACTAATATAATTGAAATTAGTCTTCAATATTTTACCACCATCTGATAGATTATTTTTTAACCTTCAGTTGATGGGCCATATGATATGGTTTGTGTGTTTAGTTGGATGTTTTGACATTTTCCTTTGGTGAGGTAGGGGCGCAAAAATAGGTCAGGAAAAGCCATGGGCCAGTGGTGGATTTTGGCCTGGTAAGAAAAGAGTTAAATGGAGACATTCTTGAAGTCACAATTTTTAAATTTTGAGAAATCGTAAATGAAAAGTTTACAGACTTACAATGTTGCTTTCTAAATCAGTAAAACTTTTTGCGTAAAATTAATTGTCCTCTTGCCCGTATACATTATAACTTCCCACCACAGGACAAGCTCAGCCCATAGATACCACCCACTGCAAGTGATCAGATGTGAAGTGGTTTACAACAATCAATGAAATTTGAAAGAATTCTTATTCGAGATTACTATCCTTTGAAATTCACTTAATTAGTCATTTGTTTGCTGAAGAGCACACTTTTTTTTGTCGTCCAAAGGGGTGTGCAATAAGCCAAATACCACTGTGTTACTCTATACTTTAAAAGAGATCTGTTCAGTTAATGATAGTTAATGAGTTTTGCAACAGTTTAACATTGTAAGCTTATCTTGATGCAAGCTTTCTGTGGACGATTCACCAATGTCTATATCTCTGCTTCAATCGGTTTCAATTGTGTCCACAGTCCAGAGATGGGTCCTGAGGAAGAGGGACTTGAAGAAGACGATGGGCTTGTGTATGATGATGGGATGACGCCCATGCCAGGTTTGTTTTGACAAATAATTATCTTCTAGAGGATAAGCTCTTTTTCTTTAGCAAATTGCTTCCAGCGGCTCGCGATCGGAACTGCTGTGCTAGTGAGCCAATGGCAGCAGCTCGGGCACATTCCTTTACGACGACTTCGACATCAAATTACTTTTGGGCAAAGGTCTCTTATATCAGGATTTGATTCATTAGATGAAGAACTATCAAAATAGGCTCACTTGCTTTGATTTAAGGACAAATTAGTGACGTTTTTGTAATTTTTAGATTTAGTACCAAAAAAGGGGCCCTGGCAGAATTGGTTTACCTGCCTCGGAGATAAAAAGTTAGGGGATAATAAGGAGGCCCTTTGAGCTCCAGTGGAGTTTTACCCCTCGTAGAGTAGATGAACATATTCTTCCATAAATATATTTTTAAACGAAGAGAGTTAATAATTATGTTATTCTAGAAATATATTGTTATATATGAGACGAGATGAATATATTATTCCATGAATATATTTTTATATTTGCTCAAACGTAGGGTACATGTATATCTATATTGCTTTTACCATCACTTCCCTTTTTTTTCGTCTTTTTAAAATTACTTTCTTCTTCTTTTTTTTTCTTTTTTGCACCAAATCCACCAAATGGTCTCAAAGTTAAAACATTTTTGGGGTTTCTTGTGGAAATCTCATACTCGAATGAAAAACAAATTAAACGGAAAATATTAATAAGGGCCAGGAGTGCTGGACACTTTTTCTTTCCATTTTATGTTAAGTTTGCATATATATATTCAAGGCCAGGTCTGATTATGATAAGGATCGTTCAAGTTTATCACTTTCTACACATAAGGATACTGCAATATAAATGGTGTGATGTTCAATCTCAAACTTGCTACTTTTTTTTCTTGTTGAATGTAGGCTACCTTGTTTTAATTACCTGCATATTAGTTTGCTTCTTTAATAGCATTTTTTCTATTTCTATCGTTGTTACCGCACAATTTATCAAGGTGCGGTGGAATCGGCCTCTCATCTATTTTGAGTCATTTAGAGTTATTGGTATCATCTTAAAGCTTGTTCATCTGTTTTGCTTTGGATGAACAAAATATCCATTTATCTTGAAGTTAAGATATATACGAATGAAGGAGGTGGGGTCACCTGGTTTCAGAGGTAAAATTAGGGAGAAAAGACCAAAAGATTAGTTATTTCCTTAGCTGGAGATTCTATGGAAACTGAAACATTTTTTGTGCCTTTAATCAACGTTTTTCAGTAAAATTCACACAAAAATGTATACTTAAATGGGCATGAAAGGTAAGCCAAAAAACACAAAATCGATAAAAATTCATAAACCTGCTGAAAAATGCCAGTTTCTTCACTTTGATTATTTTGACGAGCACCTGATTTTGCCTCACTGCTTCACATATAAGTTGGTAAATGAAACATTTTCACCATAATGCCTTCGGTCACAATGCCTTCGGTCTGATTCTTGCAAACTGACTTATTTATGCTTTTTTTGTCCCTTTTTTTGTTCGTTTTTGATAAAAGCTGCTGCAATAGCTTCCTCCATTGTTATCCCTTTTGTTTCTTTTTTTTTTCCAGGAGAGGATATTTATGATGATGCCATGACCGTGAAGCCACCGGTAAGTAATTTGCTGAAACTGGCGAGAAAGAAAGGTCTAGAAAGGTAAAACTAAAGAAAAACTAAATCCCCAAACCGTTGAAATTTATTTATTAATTTCCATACTCCTGTATTGTCAAAGTGTAATCTGAGTTGTAGGTGAACTTTGATGGTTTACTCTTTTGTTTAGCTTGATCAGTATGCAAAAACTGTCATTGTAATTATTCTTTTGTGTAGCTTGATCAGTATGCAAAAACTGTCATTGTAATTATTCTTTTGTGTAGCTTGATCAGTATGCAAAAACTGTCATTGTAATTATTCTTTTGTGTAGCTTGATCAGTATGCAAAAACTGTCATTGTAATTATTCTTTTGTTTAGCTTGATCAGTATGCAAAAACTGTCATTGTAATTATTCTTTTGTTTAGCTTGATCAGTATGCAAAAACTGTCATTGTAATTATTCTTTTGTTTAGCTTGATCAGTATGCAAAAACTGTCATTGTGATTATTCTTTTGTTTAGCTTGATCAGTATGCAAAAACTGTCATTGTAATTATTCTTTTGTTTAGCTTGATCAGTATGCAAAAACTGTCATTGTAATTATTCTTTTGTGTAGCTTGATCAGTATGCAAAAACTGTCATTGTAATTATTCTTTTGTGTAGCTTGAACAGTATGCAAAAACAGTCATTGTGATTGTTCTTGGTGCAAAAATATCATTGTAATTTTGCCTTATTTTTAATTGCCTATTTGATTCCAATATTGTCTTTCATTTTTTATGCCAACTCTTTTCTTTTTGATAAGTTTTTACGCAATGTCAACCTTTTTGAATATTCATAAAAGTTGTGTACCATTGCAGATTGAAGCTCGTTTAGTTTATTAATTACTCTAGCAGTAAGTAAGCTCCGGGCGATCATTTGTTAATTATTTAGTGATGTTTACAGTCTGATGATCCGCACTTCCCACAAGTTGTAAAATTCTCAGTATCATTTCCATTGGTAGTAGGTGTAAAGTTGGTGTGCAGATTATTATTTTTTTTTTAGGCATGTTTTCTGAAGCAGGGTTTTGAGAATGTCTAATGCCTTTGTTTCTTCTTGTGTCTGTGTATAGGATGAGGATGACGGAGATGTTTATGAAGAGTAAGTACATGTCTACAGGAGTGTGCCTTGTGTCCCTATACTCTTATCATGTTTGTTGCTGATCTGTCTTCCAATGATGCATTTTAAGCTTTCCTAAAGTTACACGGTTTATTAGTGCGGATGAGTTTCATTGAAAATATTGAAACTTCAACCTGAAATTTGGCACACAAGTCCCAACCAATATGGACTGTGGATCTATGTAAGGATTTTGACTTATCTTTAAAAATAAAAAAGTGAGCTCAAAGTCAATGGACCCCTGATAGTCAGTTGACAAAACTTTAGGGTATATGTTAGAAAAAATTGAATATTTCCACAAGTTACCAATATTTCCCAGTTTCCTCACATAGATCCCCAGAATAGATCTTAAAGCACACATACGCCAAATGTGAAGCTTCTAGCTTCAGCAGTTTTTGAAAGCTCCTTCTGCCAAGGAGGTCACATATGTGAAAAAACAAATTTTGAGAAATACAGGAATTTTTTAATGGATTTTTTGTTCAATACGCAATTTTCAAATACCTTTCTAGATCATTTAGGGTGTTTTTACAACAGTTTTGTCATTGTGACCAGGTAGAACAGATGTCGAAGATTTTTTTTCTGCAAAAAAAACAACAAAATCGATGTTTTAACAAATTTTATCGATATTCTGTGGGATCACCGACCCGGGCCTTCCCTTAATGACCTTCTTAGTGTCGATGCATTTCATCGTATTCAAATAAACTGTTATCTTTGTACTAGGGCTCTTTAACAGAAGGCTCAGTTGTATAGTGTGTAATTTCTGCTGACGACATTGTAGACACAAGAAATTAACATCTTTTGGATTAGATGGACATTGTGTCTTCAGTGATGTTTCATTTCTTTCTTTTTTTCAGTGAGGAGAGTCTTGCTTTGGCAAAGGTTGTAATTCAAGAAGAAGAAGAGGAAGAGTCGGAACAAGACAGAAAGAAACGGCTGAAGAAAGAAGAGGAGGCAAGAAAAAAGGAAGAAAAGGAACGAAAAGAAAGAGAAAGGGAAGAAGAAAGGAAAAGAAAGAAAGAGGAAAAGGTATGTCTGAAAGAACAATTTAGTTTTAATGGAGACAATTTGAATGAGAGGGTTTACTGGAAGGGGTTTTCGACTTTAAAACATATCACTCCAGCCATAGATATTATCTGTTTCTGACTGGATTTCAAGATAATTGTTTATTTGTCATCATCATCATCAATGCCTTTCACCCCTGGCAGGGTATAGGCCACATACAAGCTCCTTCCATTTATTTCTGTTCTGAGCCATCCTTCCAAGCTCGTTCCAAGTGAGCTTCATTTCTCTCATGTCCCTTTCCACGCATCTCCTCCATGTTTCGCGTGGCCTACCCCTGCCTCGTGCTCCTTGTGGGTTCCACTGCAGTGACTGTCTTGTGATTATTTGTCATGGGGAAGAAAAAAACATCTAAAAGGTACACATTGATGCTTGTGTTAAACAAAATGGCTGTGATAAATTATCCTCAATCTGGGTTTGTTTTGACAGCAATGCTTTACATTTTTTTCCTTTCTTTTCTTGCCGCGAGTGTACAGGAATAGTGGTAGGGCATGTATTCTGTAATACTTTTGTGCGTGTGTGAAATATTGTCTTATTTTTTACTCTTGCCTAAACACACCGGTACATTAAGTTATGAACATTTTTAGCGTAATACCTTATTGGGTTGCGAGTGCTGTAAAACTCTTACTCTTGTCTTATTTCGAACTCTTATCTGAACACATAGGCAGGTACAGTAAGTTTTGAACATTTTTAACTTATGACTTTATTGTGTTGCAAGTGCTGTAACACTTTTAATCTTGTCTTTTTAAGAACTGTTATCCAAACACATGCGTACAGTAAGTTACAAAGAAATTTTAACGTATGACCTTATTGTGTTGCAAGTGCTGTAAAACTCTTACTCAGACTAAAAAGAGAAAAACAGAAAAGTGTTGTGTTTTAAGCCACCACGTGTGATATTTAAAGATGTGTGTGTGAAGCTGACATTTTTTTTCTTCAACCAGGAAAGGCAAAACAAAGAGAAGGAAGAAAAACGACTGAGAGACCGATTTAAGGTAAAGATTACATTTCTTGTATGTTTTTGATTTGCTACGTAAAAAGATAATTCAATAAAACAGTAACCTTTTTTTTCCTCCAGACAGTAAGTCTTGATGACCTCCCTTCTCTCTCAGTCTTCTTGTCACTTCTGACTTGTCTCCACCCCAGAATTACAAATTTGTTTTCTTCTTAGTACAAACTTTTGAGAAATTTGACGTGAAAAATTGTTTGTTTCACGTTTCAAGCTTTTTCTAATCCAATTCTTTGAATATCTTGATTACGATCCCAAATAATCTTATGATTTTGAAAGAGCATTTGGTTCTGACCTCAAGGTCTTAGTAACTCAAAATGGCCAAAAATGTAAGATAGAACAAAACAGGAATTCAAAATATGAGGCAGCGTGGTGAAATCAGGCGGTCGTCAAAATAGTGAAAGTCAAGAAATTGGCATTTTCCTGCTGGTTTGGGAGTTTTTTTATCGAATTTTTGTTTTTTGGTTCAACACCTTTCATGCCCATTAAAGAGCTCATTTCTGTGTGGATTTTTACTGAAAAACGTTGATTAAAGGCAGAAGAAATGTAAATTTTCTGTTTCCATAGACTCTCGAACTAAAGAAATAACTCAACTTTGGCGGCCATTTTCTCGCTAATTTTACCTCTGAAACCAGATGACCCTAACCTCCTTCAATCACACATATCTCGACTTCTACTCAACATAGGTGGACATTATTGTTCTCCCCAAACAAGGAAAATGGACAGGCCTGAGGATGATACCATCAACTCCATATGCCCAAAAATTGACGAGAGCCTGATTCCACCACGTTGTGCCAAAATTCTAAATTAAGAAATGACATGAAAAGATACATAAACTTGCACGGATAGTTTTCTCCATGACAGAGATTGTCTTTTGAAGGAAAATCTGACTCAGCAATAGGCATTTCTAAAGCTTCTGAGCTCATCTCTTCCAGTGTCAATGAATGTGGAGCCATCTGAGGCAAAGTATCACATTAACAAAACACAAGAAATATGGTTGTGTCACTTTCTCAGCTGACAGGTGATGAGATATCTGTGGGAGAGGGCGTCATCATGCAGGATGCAAAGGGCAAAGGTGACAACCTGACGGTCAAGAAGGGTCAGATGGTCAACATCATTCGCATGGACCAGAACCCCGTCAACAAATGGCTGGTCAAGATAGAAAACACAAGTGAGTGGATCAGAGGCACAGAACTTTCACTTTTTGTTTTTACTTTACTGTTTCCTTCCTCCAGTACCATGTATGGTTAGATTTGGAAGGTAAGTGCTATTTTGGTGGAGGCTAGCTTCTATATGTTATTCTGTTGGAGGACCTTTTCGATGCCACACCGCCAAGTTTTTCGTGGTCTACCCCTGCCTTTGTAGCCTGATTCTCTTACATTTTAGGCTCATGTGGCTGGTTTTTCGTGTAACATTTCCATTCTGTTTAGTTTCCTCCTTTCTTTGATTTTTAGATTAACCTCTAAGCAGCTTCCTGAGCCCGTCGTTACTTCACCACAGCCCTGTTTGCCAGGAAATTTTGCTTTCAAAATAAAGTTAACCGTACTTTTGATACTGTTTTTCCCTTGCATGGTTTGTAATCTTTCTCAAGTATCAGCCCTTTATGTGCGGGGTCTTTATTATCAAGTGTATCCATCTTTCTGCTGGGATGTTATTTCCTCACTCGGCCTGGGTTGGACCTGACAGGCAAGGTCAAAGCAGCCTGCCTCCAAAGGATCTAAACTGTGTCAGTTGTGGTGTAAAACATTACAAGTACAAATACATAATATGGTCTTTTATGCTTGTCTGTCATTTTATCGAGTTCTGTCTGTATGTATACGTTTTTGTGTGTCGGCTGAACTGTTTTCAATTCCTCGTATTACGTTGTTGTGTTAAAATCATGCAAGCCTTCTATGGATGGGAAAATGGCAATGAAACGTCACTGTTACCCTTCACTTTTATTTAAAATACTGCTGCTAAGCTAGAGTGGTTTATTTACATTTTAAACTTTGTATAATTTTCTCTTACCTTTGGAAAGTGGGAGAGAGTTCCCTTAAAAAAATATTAATGTCTGCTTACATTTATAACCCATCTGTTTTTGATCCTCAGTAGGCTATGTAGACAGCTCCATTATCGAAGTGAACGCTGCCAACATTAAACAAGTGAGTATACTTCTTAATCAAATTGCTTTTTCACCTTGGCATGTGTGTCTATGTGGCGACGAACGCATTTGTGAGAATGAGTACATGTGTGATATTGCTGTTATGATTCTATTGTTTTAAGCTTCCCTCCAGGAATGATGTGCCCACCTGCTTGCAGTAATCTGGATTTTAAAAGATTTCTGTTTTGCAGCAGGATGCAATAGATAGGTTTGTTGGCATAACTGTTGGTTTGTTGACATTACTGTTTCTTACTTTTTGTATGTCTTAGAGTTTGGTATCAGCATCTGTAATGTAGTGGTTAGGCACTTTACTGTTATCCACGGACCACGTTATTTTTTATTCAAATTGAAGAAGTCATTTATCAAGTGTCTCTGTGCGTCTGCTTGGACGTTGTATCCCTCTCAGCTTGGGTGGCCTCGACACATAGGGTCAAAGCATCCCGTCTTCAACATGATCTAAATTGAGTTGATGAGGGTGTAAAACATCTACTGTTACATGTTGCATCAAAGATTTTTTGGCGTGATTCCTATAACATAAGTCACTCTGCAGCTGGGTTCACTGTATAAGACGTTTTCATACTTCTAGTCATTTCAGTCCTCAGCACCCAAAAAGAGACTTTAGTCTGCTCCATCTCATATGTAGGCCTATAGTAACAACTGACAGAACTGCGATTCCTTTTTTAAGAAAACTGTGCCCTGTGATGCACCTTATAAGAATACATTTTTATTTTTATTTTTTGGAAGAGTCATAAAAAGTGATTATGCAGAAGGCAATTTGGATACTAGTGCCCTGTTGGTTTTGTGTCGATTTTTGCACAGTATCTTTCCAAGCTCAATTGAGCATGCTCCTAGAGATGTTCAGAGTAGGAAGATTTCTCCTTCCGTCTTCCATTGTGTTTGTTCGTCTTCATAAAGAATTGTGGCGGTTATCCAAGCTGTAATTTAACTTTTGTGTTGCTAATGCACTTTCATTCTGTTCTGAGAGAAAGTACTCTTTTTGAAATGGACAGATGACTTACATGAGGTGCTTCTTGCCTGGCTGGGGTAACTTCAACTTGGGAGATTTTGTCTGTCTACAGGTGGACTTCCTGATTGTTTTTCTTTCTAATTTTGTATTTCTGGAGAAAAAGTGTGCAGCCGGAGTCCTATTTTGGCATATATCCAAAGAATCAGGCGCTTGTTAATTTTTGGATATATGTTTGATTTCCTCATTAAGAAAAGTTTAGTGTTTTTTACATGTGCTGTCAAGGGTGTCTACTAAGTGATATGTAAATGTAATGTTACAGGATATAGTTGTCATTTTCTTCAATTTCAGTATTTTTTAGAAGGGCCTGGTTTCACCTCGATATCTCACATATATATATATATATATAATATGTTAACTGATTTCCTCATTAAGAGAAGTAAAGTGTTTTTTACATGTGCCATCAATGGCTTCTACTAACTGATATGTAAATGTATGTGCAGGACATCGCTGCTTTTTATTTCTTCAGCAATGCTGACTGGTGCAATATACAGAGCTGACAAGAATGTTTTCCATGAGTTTTTTTTGGGTGTTTTTTCAAATGAAAATTAATTGTATTTCTTTGAATTTCTGAAAGGAATACCGTGGATTCGGAATATGATCTCGGGAACAAGAGTGTGTATATAAATACATCAAATGTGCTCAAAATAATAATATAACTGATTTTTTTTTTTTGCTTTTGTTCCTGACAGGAGAAGGAATCGGTTTACTCCGCTAAACATTTGCTAATGTGTAATTATGGTACTTACAAAAACTGCGGCAAATACTTTTTGAAAAATCTTCATTGGAGAGCAGTTTGCCTCTCTTGCATTTTTCCTCATTTAAGACTGTATTTGCTCTCCCTCTCTCCCTCTGCCTTTGTTTATCTCACTCTTCTCTCTCTCTTTCTCTCTCTTTCTCTTTCTCTCTATCTCACTGTCTCTCTTTCTCTGTCTGTGTCTATTTCTCTCCCCCCCTCTCTCTCTCTCCCTCTTTCCCTCCCCCTCTCTCTCTCTCTCTCTCTCTCTGTTCCTCTCTCTCTCTGTTTCTCTCTCTCTCTCTCTCTCTCTCTCTCTCTCTCTCTCTCTCTCTTTCTCTTTCTCTTTCTCTCTCTGTGTGTGTCTCTCTCTCTCTCTCTCTCTCTCTCTCTCTCTCTCTCTCTCTCTCTCTCTCTCTCTCTCTCTCTCTCTAATACTATGTATATGACTTGGATTTTTTAAATCCTTATCTCTGAATTCCCTGCACATTTTCAGTTACCTCCCCCTGTCCCACCTGTTTTTCATTTTTATTATACTGTTTTGAGTTCTCAATCTCAAATTCTAATTCCCAGGCATGCATTTTTGTAATACACGAAACTTTCTTTTTCATTCGTAAAACATGATGTTCTCTTAACAGTGTTCAGTTGTTTCTGCGGTATTCTGATAGTTCAACAGTGTAATATTTTATTTCACTGTTGTGTAGGATGCTGTACTCTTGTATGATAATAATTGTCATAAAACCCCCTTACATACATTTTTAAGAACAGATTAAATTTTTTGTTTAATTTTAAAAAGGTACCTACATTTTTCTGCTTTAATTCTATGACACAAGGGTTTATGTTTTCTTAAAAAAATCATCAGTAGTAGATGTTTTACAACATATTTATTCTATTATCTGTCCTTAAAAAAAAAATGTACTGATCAATTTTAGGTTTCATAACTTCATTTAATAATAGGCTGTACTATTGATTTTTCTAAATCAGTGCGTGATATGTTCTTATCTTGGATCTCTGCTCGAAGTTATTGGATCACTAGTTGTGTTTTCAGTCTTGAATCTCTGTTCTGCTGTGTCTGACTGATGTGCACATGTTTTGCAAGGTGATGTTGCGTTTCTTTCTCAACTCGACATGCAGTCTGGAGAAATCGCTCGCTCTGCTGGCCTCAAAAGAAGTCTTGGCGAATGTAAAAGTTTTGATTTCCCTTGTTTCTAGGCGTGGGTGGTGCCCAGTTTTGGCTTGGTGTTGGATTTCACAACAACCCCTGTTTCATATCACAAATCTTTGATCCGGCTCTTGGTGGTTGTCGTTCTGTGTCATTCCATGCCGTTTGTGTATGTGTCAGTACTGTCAGCGACGCGTCACTATGTCAGCTGGAGGCAGTTGACCTTCCCTTTCGCCATTTCCCATGTCAGCTTTTTGTTGGGAGGGGGGGGGGGGGAGGGGGGGTTGTGGCTTTACATGGTAAAAAAAATTAGTGAATGTTAAGGAGGCATGGGGATTGGAAGGGGGGGGGGGAATTTAATACATTCATATGCTCCTTGGTTTACTATAGTAATGGCTAAAACCTTAATGGTCCTGAAAATGGTTTTCAAAATCTTGTGAAGATTATATTTTACCGTTAATAATTGTCACTGCCAGAGGATAGTATGCAAATAATAGAAACAAATGTCAAAGATCAAAGCCAAGTCAAGTAGAAATATAATTGTTCGATATCTGCAGCATCCACTTCGATGACGGAGCTGTTGATTCTTCTTTATTTTTGTACACACATTTTGTGTTACATGCACAGATATAGCCTCATTCCCTCAACCAACTCTCTTCACATCAAACACTCACCACTCAACTAGCTCAGGTACACACTAACACACATTTCATCTTCTATCAAGAACTTGTGAGTTACATCAAACGCACCATTGTAAAGGTTTGTGGCATTGTCCTTGCACACACCTGATGTAAGGATGATTTAAGAGGATTGACTTCCCTTTCAAAGTTGTTACCAAAGCACCATGAGAGCTAAAGTTTTCTACTTTTCACTATTTTAGGGAAATCGGCTCCTGTCATCCTTCCTAGTGTGGGTGTGCCAGTTATTGTATCGTGGGTTACTTGTATGATCTCTGTGATGATAGATGACGCGTCGCTGTCGGGTGTTTGGCCTGCAGCCGTTGATTTGTCATTCTGTTCCCGTTGATGATGTGACATACAGGCACTTCCTGGATTATGAATGTCCCATCCAAGCAAATTACAAAACAGCTTTTTATTTACCAGAAATTTGAATTTAAATATTAAAGTTTATAAGTTATGGGACTTTATAAGTTGAGTTTCTAAAAAGATTGCTTTTGATCCAAATCCATTCGTTTATGTTTACAAACTGTTTCAATACTTCAAGGGAAGTTTTCTGAAACTGTCATGAGTACCACCACCATCATTTTCTTTGTCATCATCATCATCATCATGTGATATGGTGGAGGGGACATGTTCATTGCGTTGGGAGTGCCTGCATGTAAGTGTAATGTCTCATTGCGGCATGTCCCAACATTCACTTTTGAGTCTGTTGCACATGACGTTGTCCTGATGTTATGTCCCGCAGTCTGCAGCTTGTAGCTAATTATCTTCATATAAATGTGTTTTAATGGGGCTATACATTGTTTTCTGAGGAAACTGTAGGACAATAATGGTTTCTGTGTTTTTATCATTTACTTTCAGTGACAGGTAAATGTTTCCTTAAGTAGCATATGAGTGGACTTTTCTTTTCGCAAATGTGACTCTTGATTTCTGAGAGTAAAGATTTAAATAGTTTCTCCAGTCTGACTTTCGGTGAAAAAGATTCTCATTTCGTTGAAGACAGAATTGCTTTTAGTGTGTTAGTGAATATGTCAATGGATTCTTGAAAGTTGTGAGGAGTTATGCTGCTTATTCTTTTTCTGTATTTGCTACACATATGGCATCACACAACTAGTTTTAAAACAAGTCTTGATACCTTAGGATTTTAATTATTTGACTACTCTAAAGAAGCCATAAGTGCTAATGAGTTGGGATTTTGGGAAGACTGTCACTCTCTCTGGTTAGGTTTTCTTGTTTCTGCCGGGTATCAGCTGCCAAATGCACTAGGACCAAGATATTATGAAAATACTTAGTTTCATATAACTTTATTCATGCATGCTTAAGTGGTCTTTCTTATATATTCTCTGTTAGTTGTCAGATGTATGCTCAGTAGGAATTTATAGAAACTATTATATATCAAGAAATATATAATTTATTGTTGTCCATTCTTCAAGGTTTTCTCTAAAATGACTTTCTCTTTCTTTTATAAAAATGAACACTTTCTTGAACATTGTACTGACTGCATTTTATATTCTTTCTTTGTTAAATGTTGTGTTACTTTACAATTTTTTTTCCTGGTGGGATTGGTCAATGTAAATTTCATTTTTTGCTGTCAGTTTTATGTGACTATATATATTTAAATTTTCAATTCCATACTTAAAATAAATCAGCATCTATAGGGCAGAAATCTTAATCCAGGGGAAAATTTATCAATAGCATGTCTGTGAACACAAGCTTCAAAGTGTCTGTTCTCTCTGTTTTCCAATAAATCTCCCTCCCACCCCTGCAGATTACGAATAATACCAATGCACGTATGCTTCTTTGTCCTATTCTCTTTTTATCATGCGCGCTCTTCCCCTTCACCATACAACCTCTTATTCAGAATCATTTACCAGGCTTTCCCCACACACAGTTATATAATATATCTATGTTGACCTCTGGTTGCCTGTCATCAATCAGAACTTTTTAGATGAATGGAATTCTTGGAGTTCTAGGTTCAATGGCAATGCTTTGTATGTTGTTGGTAGCCGGAGTGGGGGAAACAAAACAAAATTATTTCTTGTTCAAAACACTTTCTGCGGGAACATTGTGTATTTCTTTCTGTGATATCAAGTACGAGCTGGTGATGGGTTTCAACTGCTGCATAGACTTTGAGGAGGGAGTTGTTTGATACTGCATGTTTTAGTATATCATTGTATTATACACATATATGAAGAATATCAAAATAAGTTCTTTTCTAATATTGTCGGGCTTTTTTCCTTTCCAGACAGTAATATTGTTATTTTTTCATTTAATGTAACCAGTACTGCATCTTACATTTTTTGTTGTGGAAGTGTAGAAGATGGTGATTTATTATTTTTTTTAATTATTATTTTTTTTTTTTTAGGGGGGGGGGGGTTCTCCGAACCCTTCAAAGTAGAATCAGAGAGGGTTTAGAATTTAATGAGACTTAAACACTGTACCAGGAGATTTGAGTGGTAGCATTTACCTATAAAGCCTTTTTATTCTTTTCTTTTGAGACCACAGTACCTCTGTTTGCACCAAGTCCCTTCTACTTCTGTGGATGTGTGATTCTAATACTTTCCCAAAGCCCTTCATGATTTTCCCACCGATTAATGTTTTACAAGTTGTTGGAGTAGATAGTTTATTTTCAGGCGAATGTACAGTGAACAAGTAATAAGCTCAATACTGATGATCTTAGTTTAGTTGTGGACACAAGTTTCTGTTGGTGTTTTTTGTTGGCTTAGGCAAGGGATTTTGAAAATATTAATTAGCTTTCGTAAGGGATTTTGAAAATATTTATTAGCTTTCGTAAGGGATTTTGAAAATATTTATTAGCTTTCGTAAGGGATTTTGAAAATATTTATTAGCTTTCGTAAGGGATTTTGAAAATATTTTTGGGGGTCAGTTCAGGGTTAGTTTTGGAAAGCTGTTTATGTGTATGTGTAAAGGGTTGTGACTGATGGGCAGGGGAAATTTATCTATTATTGTGAGGTTTATATTTAAAGGAGATTTTTTAAAAATAGACAAACCCACTCACAGATGCAGACTGTCACATGATTTTGAGAATGGACGGACACACACACACGCGCGCGCGCGCGCACGCACGCACACACACACACACACACACACGCACACACACAAACATACACCCACACACATTTACAAACACACCCATACACACACGATCACACACTCATACACGTAGATGAGCATGCTAATATGCATAGGGCCCAGGAGGAGAATTTTTTATTCTTTCCATGTACTTGTGCTTTAGTAAATTACATGTAGAATGTTTAAAACATTGAAGTTTCCTTTTAGGAAGCTAGTAAAGAAAAACAGAACAACAGGACAAAAAGTCAGTCATTGAATTTCTGTCAAATATTTAATATCATTGAAGACAGAGTTCAGAGTTATTTATAGGTAGTATTTGTTTAAAGTGTTTCTTTAATAACCCATTTTGTAATTTTTAACCTTTTTTTTCCCTTTTCAGACCATGGTCAAGGACAGAAAGACATCCTCAGCTTCGTTAGGATCTACAGAAGAGTAAGTGACATGTAATAGCGAAAGGGGGTTTTCTTTTTTTTGTTTTTTAACAATGAAATGAAAGAAGATGGAGAGAGTGAGAGAGAGAGAGAAAGAGACAGACAGACAGACAGAGAGAGAGAGACAGACAGAGAGAGAGAGAGAGAGATAGATGCAGAGAGAGAGACAGATGCAGAGAGAGAGAGAGAGAGCGAGAGAGACAGAGAGAAATTGGTGGATGGACCAGAGAGAGAGAGAGAGAGAAATTGGTGGATGGACCAGATCCAGAGTGAGACAAATGCCACAACCCCTGAAAAACAGAAAAGCTTATATATATATGGATGCTGCTGGAAATAATTCAGTGGGTAAAATACATTCTCTTTTCATCAATATAAAAATATGATCAATTCGCTTTTTGTGGTCTTGTTATTTTTCTTTGCTCTGAGTATATGTTCGGTTTTTAGATGTTTCAAAACAATGGTTGTTGTTTTTTTCTTTTTATTTGTTATAAAGAGATTTTAATGGTATCAAAGCAAAGGTAAAATCACCTTCAATATTGTTTTAACATTAGAAACATTTTTACTTTTTGTGACAAAAGATGTCAAGTGAATAAAAGAAGTTTTGGAACAACGTCCATTCTTTGACAATTAATATCATTGTCACAATCAGTTTGGGTTTCCTATTCTTTTTTTTTTTTTTTTTCGTCATCCCCGTTACCTGGACTTTTCGTGGGTACAGAATAAAGAACTACCTTGAGCATAATTAGTCTTCATCATTTTTGTGTCTTCATGGCATGTTCTGATGGCATGTAAAATGCATAATTTAAGAAATGTATTTGAATATTTTGTATTGCATTCACAACAACACATGTTCAGTCAGAAATTTTCAGTTGTTTAACAATTAGATTTAAATACTTTTTAGAACTGAATCTAAGAATCAAAGTTATGAATGGAATCATGAATTTTGTCACATTGGCACACTCTGCTGCCTTTCTACTGCTACTCCGTGGCTCCTTCTTAGAGTTGTCTTTCAGCCACACCCCTGATCTTAGGGTCGGTAAGATCTAACACTTAACCTTCATGGATAAGATATGTTCTTAGAAGTATAGTGTGCAAGTTGCGCATGTTAAAGATCTCTTGCTGGTCTAAAATCAGCAAGAGTAGCTTTCAGATGCCACCCGGGAAACATTCAAAATTTCTACCCAACTGAAAAAAAATGTTCAATGTGTCCCTTGCACTCATATGACCTTATTGTGCAGTTGCGAGCACTGTAAAACACATGCAAACATTTCTTTTTGTAATTTTCACACTCAATGTATGGATGGATACATTCAGCCCTCCCATGGTCCAAAGCATTCTGTCCTATGGTTGAACTACACGAACTCATATATCTAAATTTAGAAAAAGGCTTCCCGTTTTGCCTAAGTCTTGAACTGATACTTCCATTGTAGTAATGGCGGTACAGAAAACTGTTGATTGTACCTTTATAATTTCACGCTTTTTTGTAAAGCTTTTAACAAAATTTGTCGATTGTTTGTGTTGCGATGTCTTTAAGATTTTCTTGAAGAAGTGTAGGGCCTAATTTTCTGATAAATGAGCTATTGCTTGATAGTTTCCATGTAGGCTGCCAAAGAAAACAGCTGCATTTCGTGTCGGTAGTTCTGACAGAATATCTATTCTGCAATGTGGCACTGGTGGTCTAGTGGTTAGCTTACCGGACTCGTAATCCTGAGTTAGCTTACCGGACTCGTAATCCTGAGGTGGTGGTTCGGAGGCTCAGGCCCATTGTTGTGTCATACGGAAACGCTCTTTACTCGAAGTTTCCTCACTTCCCCCAGGTGTGAATGGGTATAGGGTCATAGACAGCAAAAGATCTTGTCACTATGTTAGTGTTTTAGTGCTAGAAAATGGCAGCTTGCACTGTATGCATTCCAGGAAGTTGAAACTGTTTCAAAATGCTATCTTTACTGTGCAAGCGACTTCGTTGAATCCTAGCTTGCTCATTTATGTGTTTGTTGAATCTGAGTTACTTTTATTGATTTTAATTAATAAATAATTAAAGAATCAGGGAATCCAACTCCTTTCGTTGAATACAAGTTTTTGTTGAATCCAAGTTCGTTGAATCCAAGTTCGTTGAATCCTGGTTCCACTGTATTATCTTTCTTATTAGTTTTGGACAAATTTGCTTTTTCTCTACTTGAATATCTTGGTTTTTATCAATTTCAGGCTTGATGGTCAAACGTATGATCTTGTGCCTACAGAGGACGATGGTAAGGATGACTTTGTTGTAACTCACCTTTTTTAAGAAAATATGTATTGTCAGCTAATTTTATTTAACGTTCCAATTTAGAAGGTCTTTGTCAGCAAAGGAAAAATAGGATTTTTAGAGTAAGATTTTTTTTTCGCTTTCTTCCCCTCGTTATCTTTTTTGATTTTCCTTCCCCCTCTTTCTCCTCCTCCAACTCCTAGTACTCCTCTTCCTGCATATTCCACAAGTACTCCTTTTCCTCCTCCTCCTCCTCCTCCCTTTCACAGCCAACGACTGAATGCGCACAGTTTTGTTATAAGCCGTGCCCAATGGCAGGATCACTTCGGTTCTGTCGGTTTGGTCGTCGGGGGCTAGCCAGATTTAATTCCCTCCATGGGAGAGGCAAAACAGACAAAACCGATGATGACCTTCAATGGCAAATGCGTTTGTTTTCAAGGCCTCGCTTCGGGCAATCAATTTGGGCAGGTGGTCTATTGATAGTGTGTATTGAAGCTCCCAGAAACCAAACAGAACAAAACTGAGCCAGACTGGACTGATCGTCCTATTCACCCTGCCTATTACATTCAGATATTGATTACCTCGTGTTTGATTCTTCTTTCAGGTGATATCTACGAGCCGCTGGACTGAGTAAGACTGACGTCTTTCCACAAAGATCATTAGTTCCTTCCCCTGATGTGAGGACATAAATTTTCCTGAAGCGGATCCATCGACTTGTTTGAATCTTTATCAGTTTTCGGTTGATTAAAAGATATATATTCTTTCACCCTCTTTCCTAAAACTTTTGTTAAAGTTGAAGAGGACAGTTTGGGCATGAATGAGTCAGCAGTATTTCTGTGTGAGTCGTACTTGATTTTGGTCCAGAGAAATTAAAACATCTTCCGTTCCCATGAGAATTTGATGCGACTGGAATTGAATGTTCAGTTGCATTAGAGAGAGAGTGATGAATTTCTTATTGTGACTACTTCATTCTTTTTATAAACAATGACTGCACTCTTGTCTTTCTTCCAGATTGTTGAAATAATCCTTTTTCTGAGCTTTTTGTTATTTTTATTTTGTATCACATCATATCATAATGCTTTCTAGACTTGTTAAAGACTCGCTGATCATACTGAGCTTCCTTAATCATACCGGGCAGGTGTTCAGTATTCATGAGTTCATGAAGGGTAAAAAACACACACACACACATACATTTTGCTAAAATTGTTTTGTAAAATTGTTAATTCTTTTTGCCTACAACACTGCAAGTTTGCTGCACTGACGACTGAACCTTAGCAGATGTACTTCGCATAGCCAGCCCCACGGAGAGATTCCTGTCAAGATAGAATTTAGCAATGCGATTTTACTTACTTACTACCCATTACGCCATCTGACGTTTAGGGCAGCAACAAAGGATCGCCAGCTCTGTCTGTTTTGGGCCATCTTGGTCAGCGTTCCCCACGAATGATTCCAGGACTTCATTTCAGACTCTACTGTGCGTCTCCAGGTTACTTTGAGTCTGCCCTTTTTGCGACGTCCTTCGGGTGTCCAGTGGAGGGCAGTCTTCACAATAGAGTCTGGTTTTCTTCGCAGACCATGTCCAATCCATCTCAAACAGCTTCCTTGCGGCTTTCACTACCAGCATTCATACGAATCTCAAGGGATTCTGAAGGTCCATCACGCACAGAAATATGGTTTCTCTTTGTTGCTGTTTCCGTAACATATGCTTTTTACCAGTCTGGGTTGTTAACCCTGAACTGAACCTCCGAAACCTGGAGGGCCGGTGGATCACGCTTTGTCTGACCTCTACCCGTCGACCTGTCTGGCCTGGGTGGCCCTACCAGGAGCATAAGCTCCAGCCAGTGTAGCTCTTGGGGTCACTGAGGCACACAAGCTCTCTAACCACAACAAGGTAGTGATCCACTAGAGAGAATGCGACTTTGATATGTTCTTAAAAGAAAGTAAAATAAAATAATGATAACGATTATCAAGCAGAAACAAGAACGGTCTATTAACTCAATAATTGCACTTGCAAAGAACAAGAAGGATATGAGACCGCTTTATTACAACTGTAATGAATAAAGTAATAAATGTGTGTAAATTTTTTTTTAATATTAAAAACCCAAAGCATATCAAATTGTGATGCTGCATGAGTATTGTCAAGAGTTTTCAAGAAAAAAGATTATGACAAAGCGTTGTCGTTTTCTGAAGGTTACAGTCAGCTCTGATCATATTGTTCTTTTCCAACATTTGAATGTCTTTCACACACGCATTGCTCCTGAGATCTCAGTAGTTTTCATTTTTTTTCCTATATCCATGAGGAAAAGGCGGTCGGTCATTGCTACTTACTCTGTGACCAAAGGTATAAAAAATACTTTATTAAAAGAAGAATGGCCCAAGTCTGAACATGTTTATTCGTGACCAGATTTGAACCTTGTGACTGTGGCTAGCAAGGTTAGCATGGTCCTATTGCCAACTGGTTGCCTGGTGCTCTGGTGTGGTTTGCTTCTTCTTTCCTATCAAACGTCTCTTGTCCTTATCTTTCCTCCTTTTTTGGGGGTTGTATATTACTCTCAAGAAAGACCTCTAATCTTTGGCACTTGAACAACCTGATTGTGTTGCAAGTGCCGTAAAACTCTCACTAAAACTATAGTAAGTATTATCAGCTTTGCCTTGAGTTACTGTCATTCCTTTGACTTACGCTTCTCTCTGAGCTAGCATAAGTAGGTGCTGAATGGTACTTGTAGCATGGGGCACTCATTGGTTTTGGTAAGGGACTTTCTAATAACAGATCAATTTTCATTTATTTTTGTACGCACTCATAACCAGATTTATATTTATTATTATGCTGACTTTATTTAAATGAAAATGCGATAAAATGCCTTATCTGATACCAATGTTATTGTCCACTGCAAATGGGTTTAAAGTTTAAAAACTTGGACTCCGTAAAAGATGCACTCTTGTAAGCTTTGCTTGATTGATAAAGGAGAACAAAAGTGTTATTGATTAATTCAAACGAACGTAGGTTTGTCTGTTTGTCAAGTTGGTTTTTGTAATCATGTTTTTGTTTCTGGCTATATTCCTTACTCTAAGTTTGCATTATTGTGATTTTAAATGCAATTTTTGTATTATTTCTTGTCCAGAAAAGGCAACTTCCTACCCCTTTCCTCCTACTTTTTTGTTTTGTTTCTAAGATAATCCATTCCATACTGTAACTGTAATGCTTGTGTGCATATATATGTGTATGTTTTTCTTTTTCATGACTGTTTTTCTCCCTGTCTGTGATCAGTATTAGAAATTTTATATGACAGTCTAAATGTGAAAAGTATTCAGATCTCTGACAGACTGGTTCTATGTTGGAAAATAAAAATTAAATGATTTGTATATGTAGCTTTGCAACGAATAACACAAAGAGGAAAAGGCGGCTGATCAGGAAGACAGACAACAGGAAGGAATGGGGCACCATGTTCGTCAATGTTTGCTCCTGACCTAACACCTGAAGAAGAAGAATGCAGCTTGTACTGTCTCTGATGAAAACCTGAAAATTAAATAAGAATTTAAACAAGATCCCAGAGAAATTACCCCTTTCAAAAAGGTCTCATAAAACTGTTCCTTGCATTTTAAGTACTTCTGAATCCGAAGGTAAATAATTTTTGGATCATTGTCACTTCAATATTAAAACTGTCAGATGTATTGCTTGATTGTGTTGATATCCTGTGGTGTGCTGCTCTGCTGAGCACTTTCATTATGTTGTCACCTACACGTTATGTAATATACACGATGCTTTAAATGGATATTTTCTTATTTTGTAGCTCAGACATTTTATTTTCCATGTAGTGCAGACTCTCCCCAGTTTGGATACCAAACACCCCCCCCCCCCTCCCCCCCCACGAGTTATAACTCTTGTAAATATGCAGATGTGGATTTATGATCAAAAAGCCGATATTGTCAGTATAACACTTACCAGAGTATTCAGAACTGCCTTGGTTTGGTATTGCTCACCTTCAAAGTGTGTGCTGCATCTAACAATCCTATAGTATCATAGTTCAGCCTAATAATTATATTATAATACTTCTTAGCTTGTATTCGGTAATGACAAAAAAATTGATGAAATTCTATATAAAGATTTTTTTAATAGTGTTGACGTTAAAAAATTCTTAAGCTCTTACCTAAAGTTTTTTGACATGTTCAAGGTCTTTATGAAAACTGTGGAAAGAATGGTTATTCTCACATACTGTAAAACTGTAATCCAGGATAGACATTTTACTGAATCAACCTTTGAATAGTTTATACAAACTATATGTAGTGGTTCTGATTTTGTGTGTATAAATTTCACATTCCTCTAGCCCAAAAAATGTAAGGATAGATTTAGTACAAAATCTGGGTGCATCTGTCAGAAGTCCTGTGTCTCTGACTTGTCCAGTTTTTATCTCTTGGTCTTCCTCTGAACTCATACTTAGATGTTAGATGGTCCAGACATATGTCGTTAGAAAGTCACAGATTTCTGTTTTTCTGTCCATTGGGTAGACAATTACCACCAGTCTACTCTTGTTTCTAGATAGTGGTGAAAAGCAGCTGCTAAAGAGCCATTTCATGAAAAATTTCTCTCTTCGACAGAATGTATGTCCTTTGAGTAATGTGGCATCAACCCATTCACTGCTCAGCCTGAAACTGTCTTGTGGTCTGTGGTTGGATTTAGGAGGGGGTCTGTCAATGAGAGAGTGAAAGTGAAAGTCAAGGAAAATCATGACAAGAATTTGTGAAATCTAGCCACTGACTTTGTTTGGACAAAAGATTTCAACAGCTCAGTGTAAGACTGCATGATGCATCACTTTTCAAAATAACGTACGGCGGAGTCTTACACTATGAAGTGTATTTATTGTTCCCACTAGTTTACTTTTTCTGAGTTTGGTAGTCAGACTACTAGTAGTTTTGTCGAAGACCATCCATATACTCTTGGCTTTTTTCTTATACATTTGATTTCTTCCATCCAGATTTCTTTCTTATGTCCATACTCATCATTGCTGCTGTGTTACATTTTCCAGCCAATGTCAGTTCAAGTGGATAATGTTACAGATTTTATTGAAAAAGACCATGGCATTCAAATAACAGTTCTTTTATATATTTTTTTTAGATGTCTTGATAAGAAGCTCATCTCTTCAAGAAATGTCACAATGTCTTTCCCTTTTTTTGTTTTTATTGCTCTGAACCTATCAGAAAACAATTCTATGTCTAGGAATTGATGTGTGGCAACTCAGATAGGCAGAACAAACAGCTCATCTGATTTGTGCAGTATTGTTTGCTAATTACAGAGTCAAAAGCCTTGAACATACGATTATGAAAAGTTTAAGTTATAGATCAGAGAATGAGTTTTACATCGAAAGATGGACAGATGACCTCCTGTGGTTTTTCTTATAGGGATTTGACTGTGATAAGCTATATTTTGTAGGCCTATGTAGATTGGCTCTTTATTTTGTCATTTTTGGAAAAGATTGTTGAGAACCATGGTACTTTACTAGTACGTTCTTCTTAATGTTTATCTTCTTTTCTAAACAAAAGTGATTTTTTGCTGACATATGCTCATTGATTGACTACTTGAAATTGTTATGTAACGTGCCTTAAAATCTGTTAAATTTGCTGTCTGTGCCTTTAGTTTGCCAGTGAACCTTTTCCGATACTCTGTCCAGGGTTTTATTTGTTTTAAAATTGCTATGTCGACACCTCCAGTGTAATTCTGTTGTTGTCAAATGTTATGCATGGTGCCTTAGGTATTTTCAGATGTTTTTTCCTGTGTTATTGTGTAAATATAAAGATTTGTTGATTATAATCATGTTGAATAAAATCTTCTCGTATCAACTGTACTTTTTTCAAACTTACATAGGGTTGTAAGAAGAACTCTTAAGTGTCACTTGTTACTCATTGGAGAATACTAAGGAGATGGCACGGATTGCTAAATGTGTGATGTCTTGGAACTAACACATGATAATGGGGAAACATTTGCAGTCAATGTCTTGCAAGTATTTTGGGTCAACTACTTATTTGCACCTTACTTTGAATTAAGGAAGTCGCTGACTGTTTTGCCTTTGTTTTCGTTATTATAAGAAGGCCACTCTTTGTTATGTTGGTGTGGTAACACTTATGGGTTGCGGTATCAGCGGTTTTTCTGTCAGCATTCAAAGTTACATGGCTGGCTGAAAGACAAAGCGATTGGAGGATCTTAACATTTTTTCTTAGTTTGAAAAACAGAATTTGAAGGTTACTGTTTTATTATTTGAACCACCTGTCT